GACATCGGTTCTTACACCTATGAAGGTCTTCGCACATTTGTTGATCGCATTGAGTTTGTTCTCAATTCAATCCCTCCAGGTTTGCAACCATCGGAGTTGACTAAATACACATGGTCCATGGTTGTATTCTCGATTGAAGAAGGTTCGAATGATGCAGAGACACATCGACAGAATCAAAGATTCGACACAAACGTCTCATGTCAGGTGTTGGGATTGGCCCTTCAACAAACTGAAGACCACGCTGTCGGTTTAGATGTCAACGCAGTTCAGCTTGCAGCAGATTCTGAGAGATTGCTTGTGGCCGACAAAGTCGATGACCATGTTCCGCTCTTTTCAGAAACAATGCAATTCGAGGCACCGTATTCTTTTGGCCTTCCTGCTGTCGACGCAGAACAGGAAGGTGAACCGCCCGTCGCTGAGCCCGTGCCACCTGAGGTACGCTGATGGTCCTGGTGGTGATGCAGACTCCGAGGATGGGGATCAGGACCCATAAGGTAAATATGCCAGACTTTTGCAAGAGGCCGCATCGGTTGAACACAAACGATTGCACATTCCAAAGAATCCCACATGTGAAATTTGTCAAAGGAGTCGTATGTACCGTAGGCGGACAAACTCAAAGAGACATGATCCGCTTGAGTCAAGAGGGATGCTTCCTGAAGTTACTGCTTTTGGTGAAAGGTTGGCGTGTGATTTCATCATTGTCTCAAAGTCAAGAACCGAAGGACGACACAACGTTGTTCTTGTAATTCGTGATGAGTTCAGTGGTTTTGTTCGCTCTTTTCCACTAGGGTCAAGAAGCAGTGAAACTATCAATAAGCATCTCTTGGCATTTTTGGGACCGAGTTACCACAAGCAACAGTCCATCATGGTCAAGAGTGATCAAGCCCATGAATTCCAGGCCTCCTGTTCCCAGCTTGGATTTCAACGTGAGCCGACACTCCGCTGGCCTCACAATTCCAGGTTGGAGCGGGAGCTGAGAACCATTGAAGAAATAACTCGAGCAGTCCATCTGCAAGCAGGTTTCCACATGTTCCAGGATCTCTGGCCTCTGTCAGTGTCGCATGCAGCATTCATGATCTCATGCTTCCATAAAACGCCAGGAGTTGAGGTAACCAGATTGGAACTCGCGACAGGCAAACCATGGACGGGTAGGGACATCCTCTTGGGACAGCTTGTTTATGTTCGGGACTTGCATCAGCCGAAATTTCAAACAAATGCCAAACCCGCAGTTCTTGCGGGCTATAGACTTGACACGGGACCGCGCTTTAAAGGGGTGCATTTGGTGTTGGACTACAGATCCCTCCAAGAAAAGACTCCAGGGTACAATCTCCAAGAAAAGACTCCAGGGTACAATGTTCCTGTCAGTGTTCCTTTTGAAGAGGTGTTCATTCCTGAGGGTGACCCAATCATGCCATTGTTTACCGCTTCGCAAGCAGCATTGGCTGAGTTTGGTGGTTTAAAGTTAGAGAATGTTCCAAACATTGATGTCCCATTTTCATCTCTACCATCAAGCGCAACCCCAAAAGAAAGGAACGAATACATAACATTAGACAGACTGATCCGATATGGTCCTTCCCCCGGGTTGTAAGGCTTGTGAGAAGGCTGGAGGAGTTCATAGCGCTGCACGCAAAGCGAGATTCACAGGTTTGATTCGAGCGGACAAGATTGCAGCTGATGGGAGACATCGATCGCCCTCGAGTCCTTCAGTCTCATTGCCTCCAACGCCTGCCTTGCCTCCACCTTCCGTGGCTCTGTTGACGCCGTCGTTGCCGTCGGTTTCGATCGAAGAAACAGCTGTTCAGGAAAAAGAGGAAAGGGTTGACCCGAACAGTTTGCCGTTTAGTGCAGGTATACCACCAGGTTCGGAGGAGGCCATGATAGGGAAAGTCAATCAAGACATTGATGCAGCATTCATTGATGGTAACATTGCCAGAGGCAGGGCACGAAGGGTGAATGAACTGGAATGGAAGGCAAAGACTTCCTTTTCGAGTATGCGTGTTCAGATGAATCCATTATAGGTTAGAGGGCAGAGCAACTTGACATCAAAGTTGTGCGGTTGACAAGATCCTTGTTAGACCTGGAGAAGGCGAGTGATGTCGAACAGGCCATTGGTCAACTCGAGCAAGTGCCAGGCGCAGATGTCTATGTCTCACTGACATGTACGTACTATTCACCGCTCCAGCATTTGAATGTTGCAATTCATGGGGATGAATATGGAAAGAAATTGAAACAATCACGAAGGAAGACCATCAAGATGTTGAACTTAGCCATCAAGTTCTTGGAAGTTGCAATTAAGAACTACGGTCGTATTGCAGTTGAATGGCCAAGAAGTAGCGGGCTTTGGGAAACAAAGGAATGGGGCGCCTTCATGAAAAGACATAATCTCAAATATGTTCACTTCGATGGGTGTTCATTGGGCTTAAAGGGTCGAAACCAAAAGTTCCTAAAGAAGCCTTGGCGCATTGCCACAAATGATGTCAGGGTGTTGCAATACTTCGGTCAGCATCAATGCCCAAGAAACTATGAGCATGAGCAAACAATAGGCACCAATGCAACAGCTTCAGCATACTATACACCACAGTTTGCAGAGGTTTTGCTTGAAGCATTGTATCCAAAACAGGCTTTCAGGTTTGTTCCGGATGTGTCCGAAATGTCTAGTGCGTTCGTGACCAGAAGTTTGTCTCGCTCGGAATGGCTTCAAGACCCAAAGGGTTTGCAAGCAGTGCTCGATGAAGCGCAAGGTTTGAGAGGCAACGGGACCTGGGACGACAGTTCGGTCACAGTGCTGGAAAATTTGAAAACCCAAGCCAAAGAACTTGAAATCACAGTGCACATTGCATCATTGCACACACTCTGTGGAGTGAAGCATTGGGAACAACCCATCGAACAACACAAGTATAAAGGACGAATAGTGTACAGAGGAGACCTGATAAGGAATGAGTCAGATGAATTGGTCTTGTATGCAGATACAGCAACCACTCCAACAGCATTGGTTGCTCTCAATCTCGCTCTGTTCTACGGAACATGTGAGAACAACGCCATTTCACTGTCTGATGCCGTTCAGGCACTCCTTCAGGCACCTCTCGAAGAAGAGACATGGGTCCTGGTACCTTTTGAGCTGTGGCTGGATAGTTGGAAAGCCACATATCCTTGAGGTACCAAATTGGTTGTAAGATTGGTGAAATCACTGTACCGTCATCCGTTGGCTGGAAAGTTATGGCAATCTTACCTTTCAGAAAGGTTGGCAAAATTAGGAGGTGTTGAAAGCGAGTTGTATCCATCTAATTGGTTCTTCCGCCGCAACGGACACACCCTTTTGCTAAATATCTATGTCGATGATTTGAGCCTTTGTGGTAGATCTCATCTTCACGATTCCTTCTGGGAGGAACTTAGGGGGGAGATAAAACTAGACCCCGAAGTTTATATCAATGACCAACGATCCTTGATTTTGGGTAGAACTCATAAATGGTTCAAGAAAGAAGAGGGAGCAGAGTTGCATATTGAAATGACTTCATATGCACAAAGTATCGTACAGTTCTACTGCGAACTTTGCGGAATCTCTGAAGCCTCCTTGAAAGCAGTGCCATCGCCGGCGCTTCCCGAATCCAACATGAGTGACGAAGAGGCTGATCAGCAAGGTTGGCTTCACAAGGATGCTGCCAAGGCCTTGATGAGATTGCTTTGGCTAAGCCGTCTGTCGCGCCCAGATATATCTTTCATTGTGTGCCGCTTAGCTGCCAACGTATCCAGGTGGAGCCGTTGGGACGATTGCCAGCTTCATAGACTTGTAAGCTACATACATCACACACATACGTATAGGTGTTGCGGTAGTGTGTCCTATGGCCATGGCCCTGTTGTGGACTTTGCATCGTGTCCCTGGACGGCCAACTCTACAAGCGGCATCGTGATTGGTGTACAAACTGGAGAGGCATTGTTCCCAGTGTTCTGGCAATCGAAGAAGCAAAGCTCCGTGGCCCGGAGCACGTCGGAGGCCGAGTCCATTGCTCTGGCTTCAACGATGTATGGGGAAGTTTTGCACATCCAAGAGATGTTGGGACACCTGTTCGAAGTTTCTAGCCCAGTGAAATTTGAACAGGACAATGAGGCGGCGATCAAGATCATCCAGAACAAGTACTCTGTGAAATTGAGACATTGCAATCGCGTACATCGCGTCAATATTGCATCTATCAGCGATCTATGTGGGAAGGAGGAAAGTTTGGAGTTGCGTTACTGTCATACAAAACAGCAATTGGCAAACGCACTGACGAAGATACTGCCTCCAGTTCAATGGAGTGAAGCGCTGGAACAGCTTTGCGTGAGAGCTTGTGGATGACCTTCAGTAGTTGTCCTTGAAATAGCACTGCATCTCGTTTGCGGTGCCAGGAATATCATTTTGGGCCAACATGTTCAGTGTGAGGGGGGAGTTGAGAGTTTAGATGTACATAGCACTGTACACCGCTCCATGTTGACATGTTGTGTCTTGTCTTTTGTACTACAGCATTTTGACTTGTAAAGCAACTGAATGGTTGGCTCAAGTAAAACAGGCAGCGTTGTGCTTGCGATCATTGGGTACGGTCCTGGGAGGTTGTGGGACACGTACTCAACAAAAAGAAAAAGTAAAAAACTACTGTATATATAAAAAATATATATATATATATATCCAATTCAGATACTGCATTATGCCTTGAAAGGTATGGCGTAAGGCAGCCATATAGATTGACGTTGCTTTCAAACTTGTGGTATATCCTGTGCTATTTTGTAGTGATCAGCAAAATCAAAAATCACAAATTGAAATAAATCAGCTTGTTCGTCAGCCCACATGCTGGGTTCTTTTTGCAGCAACAACATTTGGGTTGGTTGGGGAAGACTAGACATGTAGACATGTGTCTACAGTAGATTATGTATACACAAACGAACGCCTTTGAACCACGCAGTTGGGCCAGTCTCATGCACATGTACATTTCAGTCGATGTCTCGTTGAACTCCGAGTCAGACCGCAGGATGACGGAGAAAAGAAAAGAGCACAAAATCAGGACTACGCCAACTCAAGCGGAGCTCTTGAAGGTGTTCCGTCTGGATTCTTGGTCCAACTGGCAATATTGAATGACGGCATCAAATTATGTTTTAAGTTGAACTGCCTGAGCATTTCAGCAAGACACACCTTTCACTTCTACCTCCTTTGTTAGGGAGAAGAGAAGAGTTGAACGACCAAGTGTTTGTTTCTGTTGCGATCAATCGATGAGATCAAAATCTGAGGACACTTCAGATGAATTGCTCAGTGTTTCACCTTTTCAGAGGTCTACCAGCCCAGGATTCACAGCAGGTTTGCCGTGAATTCTTTCGCTGAAGTGTCATCTAATCTCATATCCGCCCAACCATAACCCGAGTTGCTAGAGTTTGCTAGAGCTATTGTTGTCCATCATTTCCTGATAATTATGTTTTCGAACCTGGTATAATTCACAGTGCAAGGGGATTATTTGTTTTGTCCGCTAAGAGAAAACAGAAAGTCTGGGAGGTTTGGATGGCATGAATGCTCAGCGCTTTTGCTTGTAGTCCGCCCACACAATTGCCTGAAGGTGCCAGGTTGAAGAGTTAGCTTTCGATAGTTCCATCAGGTCCTTTGTCAATACGTCATATGCGGAGGAATTAGGCCTTGAGGGCATTCGAGGGCTTGACCTTCAGGAGGTGTTTCACTTAAGCAAGTCATTAAGCTGCAGCTGGTTTTTCTTCCAGTTGAAAAACAAGGCCCAAAGTCGATACTAGCAGAGTTTGCCGTTGCAGCTGCATCTTCCAGCAACTTTGCTTCCCCCATTGAGCCCACCGATGCAAGTGGGATGGAGCAGTGTGCACACCTGTAGTGTGCGCAAGAAACTTGGCAAGCCTTCACTTTCCAGACGGATTAAACACATTTCAAGAACACAAAGCCAAAGGCAACACCACTTGTTTCACCAAACAGTTATCAGGACTCGGTTTTACCAGAATTGACATCGGCCTGATCTGTTCGCACGCCTTTGGCTTCGTGATTTGGTGTGTAACCAAGCGTTTGGCTTACAAAATCCCATTAACATCCCAATTTAGTGCCGCTGTTCTTATTTGTACCATGTCGTGGCAAACTATGATGCCTAATTATATATATAGAATTATATTGCCATCCTTGAGCTGAACAAGCAAACATATGCAAACAATATGCAAACATGTCTTCATGCAAGAAAAGTGCCTTCAATGGCACAGGGTGGACATGCTTTTACTTTCAGCAACCAAAGACTTTTGTCCTGAATCATGTCCAAGATGCTCGTTGACTCGTTGGCATTTGTTGAGGTGTCTCCGGATAATTCAGGGCTTGGGAGTTAGAGTGAGTCACGCTGGCCCAAAAGAGATGGTCACAGGCTCAAATGTTTTTGACTGCCAGCATGAAATAGCTGTCACAAAGATTTTTTTGGCGTCCAAGGACACAGAATTGTGTTCCTTTTGGTGTACTCTTCAACGACGCTGAGACCATGAAAAATGACACTTCAATGTAGTGTTGGAGTGTTAGTTTGCGCCGCCAAAGTAGGCATGAGCAGTTGCGAGCGCAGTATTGACCATCTATATACAGTCATCAACTCTGTAAACTCTGTGTCAGTCAACTATAGAGGTAATCTAAGGAAATGTCAAGCAGACAGTTCGACAAACGGCTGTGGACAAGGATCATGGGGCGGAGAGTGCTTGTGGGCCGGTGGTTGCACGATTGCGTTTTGGTGCTGGTTGGTGTGCTGTGTTGTTTGTTTTTAGTCTTGGCGTTGCCCTTGGAATCCTACGCATCGAAACCCAGAGTCGTGTGGTGAAGTAGTTCCTACCGATGATGACGTGGTAAAACTGGTCGCTACACTTCCCACAGCATTGTACAAAACCGACATGGCAAGGCTTTGTGTATGCCGTATGTCAGACATAGAGGCTTTGTGTAAGAAGTGCAATGTGCATACGGTTGTGTAGTGTACCTGTTGATCATATCTGTTGTGTAAGGTCTGAGTCATGCTTTGGATGTTGGGCATTCTTTGTCAGTGTTGCGGTCCATCACGTGAATATATTTTTGTGTGGCCCAAGCCTGCATTGGAGAAACCAACCAGAATGTTTGCACCTGTTGGGTGCCCTGGGAAACCATCATACTCATACATCCTTTACCACTTACGTCCTTTACCAGGTTCAAGAGGAGAATTCTGGACGACCCTTCTCAGAATAAATATGACATGCCTGGACATTTCTAGGAGCTTCTTTAGGGGGTTGGGTGTGTGCAGCCTCAACGACAAGTATCCACAAGTGTTTGAAATCGCTCGGTTTGTCGTATAGCTTTGTGTAAGGGTTGCGTAAAGGCATGCGTAAACCGACTTTTGTGGTTCCCACCCTAGCCCACAGCCGCCACAAGAAACATGTATAACATTGTATAACATGTGCAACTCTCATACCTACGTGCCAACCATTCCTCGAACGGCAAGGATGCCGCAAGTACGTATCGTGCAGCTGCAGCCAACCCTAGATTGAGGATAAACTGCTTTGAGCAGACAGACAGCCAAGAGGCGTAGACAGATGAACTTGAAGCACTCTCATCATTTTTCTGGTCATCGCCACGAACGTCCCGACACAATGCAAATCATGAGGAGAATGATCATGCCGCGCGCATATGTCCGATTTCCAGTTGCGTAAGATTGACAGAAGGGTTTCGGCTTTGCTTGGGGTGGCGGTGGCGTGAACAAACTGCGGTCTCATAAGCTAGGCATCAAAAAACATGTATAGATTATATAAGCATTGCACCATGTTTGGAATGACCACCTCACTGTTGACTGTTCTTCGCATTGGATTTCATTGCATTCGCGTTCCACTTGAGACGTCAGCGCATTGCACATTTTCACGCAACACATCACCACATGGCGCATCGCAAAGAAACGCAACATCTAACATCACATCATTACTCCGCAAAACAACATGTCGTATACAATCTGTATACCACATCATACTACAATCTGTTTGACTTTGCAGGGCCCACCGGTCCTACTGGGATCTACCCCGGTATACAGTTTGCAGTACAGGATGTGAATGGCGTCATGATTCTTTTTGAAGCCGGTCTTTTCCCGCCGAGGTGCCTACTACTTCAAGTTGGCAGTCAGAGGAAAAGCGGGCGATGGCAGCTGTAAGTCAGGGGGAGGATTGAATGAGGATTGTTAGTTCAATTGCCATAGAAGGAGGGACTGGAACACCAGGACCACAAGTGACATAGGTAGTAGCAAGTGCATCGCTAACAATTATTAACAAGTGCATTACTACTAGTTGCAAATAGCTACTAGTAGCTGTAAGATCTGAGCTTTTTAATGAATGCAAAAGCCATCATATTGAGCACTTGCCACTAGTAGAAATGAGTAGCGATACACTTAGCATCACTTAGCTACTAGTAGCTTCTTGTTACTAGCAAAAACCATGATACTGAGCAATTAACCTGTATTATACCCAGTGACGGCATGTTGGTTCACCCGCCATAATCAGGCGTTGTCTAGGGCAAGCTGAGACGGTGACAATTGCGGTCCATGTTGCGACATCGGGCCACACGGCATTGTGAAGCTAAGGTCGTACCTGCATATAGTCTGATTTGTTTGTGCAGGATTACAGCTTGAGCACGATATCCTTCAGATCGGTGCATTTGTGCAAAGCGTATGAACGATTCCCACAAAGGCAACTTCCGAAAGTGCTACCTTGGGTTTGTTTGCAAAGCATGGGTTCGGCTGCTGGAGGTTTCTTGATTCAAGAGCCACCCTCAATCCTGTATTGCTTGACTAAAGGTACCTGGGTCCCCACGATCGAGAGGATGTTTGAATCGATTCGCCGACGGACCCTTCTTCAGTTTCAGTTTGCCGCTGCGTAGCACTGCGCAGCATGTTCACTTCTGCGGTGTGAGCAGCAAGCATGAACACATACAATGCCACTTAACCAGTGGCACCAGCGGTGATTGCATTTTAGCTACTAGGCACAAGTGCATCGCAACTAGTAACAAGTGCATCGCTACTAGTAACAAGAAGCTACTAGGAACAAGTACACTTGTGCCAAGATTTGACAAGCATCTACCGTACTACCAGTGGTAAGAACCTGCCTGTGCACCTGCACCAGGAGCTACCCATCTATATACCTGTGTTTCCAAGAACGATGTCACCGGTTCACATGTGGAAAAATTGACGCATCGGGAACAACCTACTCCGCGTGTCACCAGTGAAACCGCAAAAGACTCCCAAGGACTCTAACTTTAATAACCCAGTGAAACTGGACTCTAACAGACACATGCAGTTGCACTCTAACACTGCTTTTGCATCCATACAGTTCGCGTTGGTTACCTTCTCAAGTTGAACGCGCCAAGATATTCGGTATTTTGGCACGTTTTATACGTCGTTTCCTACCTGAGCTCTTGGTGGTCGAGACGTTCAACCTGTGATTGTTTTTTGTCGAATAAGCGTGAACTATGCTACTTTTGCTGATGCTGTTCTGGTTCTTATAAGGCATGTGTCATACCAAAACAAGCCCATTGTTTGTGCACATGCCGCATCAATCGTTGCCTTGCCATTTGCCTTTTCCAGACAACCAAGACTAAGACAGAAAGCAGGCCCACGGATGCACAAAGCAATGAAGCAATGAGAGCAAAGAGCGGCATTTGTTTTCTTGATGAGGTCCAGACCAAAACATATCCACCGTACCTGAGGTGCTTCATGAGATCAGACCCTGGGTACTGTAATGCACATGATCCGTTTACTAGGAAACTGCAGAATCACAGCAGGATTCCGTGTTACAGGTCTTATAGGTTTCATACTCACATGCGCTGCATGACATTTAAAAAACTGGCTGTCGACCCCTTGCGTTGCCTTCGAATGTTGCGCCCGCTGCGCTTGATACCATCTGGAGTGCAGGCACATTCCCTCATGAGAACGCAACCTTTGCATTTGGCATATTTGGTTATGGGATAGAGATGTACGGGATGTACGCCACATCTTCAAGAAATGCACTTGTGGTCGCTACGGTACGCAATGCGAATGTATCGTATGTAGGACAGCGGAGGTTTCTATTTAAGAACTTGGAACTCCATTCAGGCAATACCCATAGGCAACGTTGGAACAAATTTGAATCTTGTTGTTGATCCTCCTTTGGTTTCTTTCTGGCAGAATCCAATGTAGTTGCAAGTGGGAAACTGAGTAGCTCTTCGACTGATGTTTTGCATGTAATTTCATAGTTCTCATCATTGCAGGCAGAATTGTCATCACTCAGACTTCATGTTGCTAAAGCACCCGCCAATTGAAGACGGACAAGACCTTGGAAAACTGCACCCTTGGCTTTCCATACTACTACTTTGCTTACTGCACACATTCATGTTGGCTTGTGAGGCAGGCTGTTCAT